GTGCAGAGTCTGTGTGTACCTGTGCATAGTAGTGTGTGTGTGTGTGTGCCTGTGTGCAGAGTCTGTGTGTACCTGTGCATAGTAGTGTGTGTGTGTGTGTGCCTGTGTGCAGTAGTGTGTGTGTACCTGTGTGTAGTAGTGTGTGTACCTGTGCGTAGGCCAGTAGTTTCTCTGTAGCGTTTGGGTCTCTGTTCCAGATGAGGTTTTCACAGAGTAACAGCAGCTCCTTATCGATGTCGTCATACACTGGCAGGTTCCCAGCATTTACAATCCCCATGTCCATTCCATCCTGACACAATTAGATCAAACAAGAGATCAGAGTTAAAATTCTGACTAAATAAAGGAGAATATTGTAGTTGCCTTCATTTGACCTTTAAGCCTCTCTTCCAGTTTGGGTTGCAGTGACCACTGGGACTACTGATGCTTTGACTTTTAGAACTGTATTTCCTCTTTCAGGCCTTKATATTTCTTTTTTTATTTGCTCCTCCTTTCTAATGTCAGCTGGCAGTTGGTGCACTAAGTCACACAGATTAGGTGTAAGAATATCAGGGGTCTCTAATCTCTAATCTTGAAGGAACTTTGTGTGTGATACAAAWCAATGAGGCCACGGCAGCTCTGAGGCAAACTGGACGTAACTTGGATTAACAAGGCCTGTGGCAGATGGTGGGGTTCTGAATGTCAGCTTTTATTTCCTGGTATTTTCATGTAGATGTGTTAAACAACTCAGAACATACCACCCTGTAGTTTGAGCCCACCCATTCTTCAAGTGAGCAAAACTATTGGAACATGTGACTGACAGGTGTTTCTTCTTGACCAGGTGTTGCCTTTAAGGTGGATTGTTCAGACATTAAATAGTTCTGCATGACTAGTCTACTTTTTGGTCTGAGTTTAAAGTAAGTTTTTCTTGTTAAAGAGGATAAACCAACATGAAGCCAGAGAACTGTCTATGGGAGAAAAGCTGAGAAGAAGGAAAATCAATCAGAGCCATTGGACAAACATTGAGCATAGCAAGCACAACAATKTGAGATTCCCTGAATAAGAAACTACTGATGTTCTGAGCAAGAGACATYCAACTGGTCAGCCAAGGAAAACTACAGTAGTTAAGGACAAAAATCTTGGGAGAGTTGWGAGGAAAACCCCCCAAAWCATCAGTAAGTGACATCACCAACAACCTCCACAGTTCAGGGCTGAAGGTATCACAATCTGTAGAGGCCAAACACAAAGATACAAACCACTCATCAGTAAGAAAAATCAGAAGGATAGGTTTAGATTTTAAAAAAGTACGAAGATAATCTTATGGACTGATGAGACCAAAATTAATCTCTACCAAAGTGGAACCATGTACAATTAACGTATTTTTCAGACTATAAGCCGCGACTTTTTTCCTGAACTTTGAACCATGCAGCTTATACTTGGATTTTTTTCTTCAGCCACCAGGGGCTCTTATGCTCTATTTGCTTCATCCACTTGCTTCAAATAAAGAAAGAAAAAAAAGAAAAAAAGCGATCCTTCCAGAGCCGACGGTTGAACCAGGAAGCAGCGATTTAAATATAGTCAGTGGTCAAAAACTCATAAAAGGGGATAAAACTGACATTTTTCACGGTGGAATCTGACTGATAAAAACTTTGGAGCTTAACCCAGGACCAGTTTGTGATAAACATCGAGTGAAGAACTGCTGACTTTTTTTTTCCTCATTGCACTCCCCGGGGAAGGAATCCCATGCAGTGACGTATGCTAGAGCGGGAGGGCTTTCCCACCACAGCTTCAGAGCCAGCATTACCCTGGGAGGACAACAGGCACCGCTGTGTGACGCAGCTTTTCTCAGCTTGTTTAACTCCGACACTGAACAGATACCGCTGTGTGACGCAGCTTTTCTCAGCTTGTTTAACTCCGACACTGAAGAAGACTTCAATGGTTTCAGTGCACCAGAAGAAGATGAATGAGACGTTTTGTTGGACCAGAAACTGTTAAAGAAAACTACCAAAATAAGGTCAGTTAAATGAACCGTATTCCTCCGAACTTTAATTCCTAAAGGTTTGTTTTTTTTATGTTTTGATGTTGAATTCACTTTTTTGACGGCAAATTTGGGTGTACTGTTTTTTTATGTTGTGGGTGCGGCTTATAGTCTGGTGCGGCTTATATGTTAATGTTTGCGATTTTTTTTAAATGGCGGGTGCAGCTTGTAGTCCGGTGCAGCTTATAGTCCGAAAAATACGGTATATTTTTTCCCATTAAAAATTTACCTTAAGGTTCTTGAAAAAATTGTGTCATTAGGAAATATTTTCACATTTTTAGAACGAAACTGTGATTTCTTGAGAATTTTTGAGACATGTGACTTAATAATCCTATTTCAACAATGCTTATGCTGATTGCTACTAAATTGGATACACTTGYTTAGGAACACAATCTAAGTTGTTAGTGTCAGCATGGTCATGGTCAACAATACTTATTTTTTTTAGTGAAGATGCACTAAAAAAGTATTAAAATCACACATTTGACCTACAGCATCCTCTCACTGGCAGAAATTTTTAAAATATAACAAACAATAAATAAGTTAATGACTTTAAGTTTTGTTTAATCACATTAGCATGGATGTTTTCTAGGCCATTTTGGTCAAAACATTAAAGTCTTGTTTGAACTGACACAACTATGAGATTTTTTTTATATTAAATTTATTCAAGGCTTTCCATAGAATATAATACAATCTGAGTGACACAATAATCCTGTTTACCTTAATGGCGTGATACAGAAATGCTCCGTGCATAGCTTCTCTGATGGTGTCCATCCCTCTGAAGGAAAAAGACAAGTTGGACAGACCTCCACTCACCCTGGCTCCTGGTAAAGTCTCCTAAATACAAACACACAAAAACAAAACAAGTGACTTACCAGGATCAGAACTGATGTTCTAAATAGTATCAGCCAAAAATAACTCAAATACAACAATTAAAAGAATGTCCTGATGCATTCAGGAATCCAGGTAGAAACAAAGAAAAAATAAGGTCTTGTAGACGGGTTCTCAACACTGACTGTGTCGTCCCCGACACGTTTTGTCACCTCCTTTTTAAAACTCTGCGCTGTTTGTGAAATCTGAAAAACTCCAACTGTTAGTGAAAGCCAGGACTCTTGGATTTTCATCGATATATGAGTTTTTACAGTAATATCATGTGGCAGTAAGCCCSCGAAACAACCTCTTTATGTACGAGACTTAGGTGTTAAAGGGTTAATGAAACGTTTCATTAAAGAAGAACCGTCCAGTAGACCTAATTGTTTTTTTCTCTTTGAATAAAAAGAAGAAATTCTTGAGTAAAAAACACTTTAAAAATATGCCCATTAACTTTTATGCCAGATTTCTAAATGAAGAATACCCAATGAAGCGTAGGGATGGAGTTATAACACATAACATTCAATCACTATTACACATATGCAATATTGCAACATGTGTTGGCACATGGGGATAACTCTAAACTCTGATTACTCACTTAAAGTTTATTTAGTTTGACCAGAAAATTTTGGTTTTGCATTAAATTGAACAGTTGCAGGGTGAAGACTTGCTGACCCAGATCTGTGGTTCCACACATTGGACTGGATGTCCTCTTCAGACACATGATGGAAGTCTCTCTGATGTCTGATTGGTTTGTTTGTGTCCTGTGCCTCAAACCAGATCTCCAGTCAACAGGACTGGCTGTGATTGGTTGTCTCGTTAGGAGGTCTAATTGTTGGGGATTAAGTGTGTTAGTGTTATGTTGACGGTTAAAACAAATGTGCAAGTTTAGAGATGCAAGTCTTATAGTTTTACCTGTAAACATCTTTGTTTTGTTATTTAGCTAGAAGCCGGCTGGTAAATTAGCAAGATGGACAGCTACGATTGTGATTAATGCTTTCTTTAATTGCATTCAAATTGATTGATTTTAAATTTTAATTTTTAAAATCCTTCTGGACCTGGCTCCACTAGATTTACACATCATCAACATCAACAACCATTAATACATTTTGTGCACTAGGTTGTGAAGAATCTGTGGCCTGATTTTGTCATCAAAATGCTCCAAATTGAAGACAAAATAGCAGTAGGTGTGACAAGTGAAAATTGTCTTTTTGATCAAAATGGCCGACTTTCTATAGGTTTTACAATATGGTGTAAAGAGATTTTTTTAAGTCATGAACCAATGCACAAATGCACCAAATTTTATAGATTTTAGTTGAAGTAGTCAGAGAAATACAATCAAGGTGGCGCTAGAGAGCCAATTTGCAACCAGCCCATCTGGATCTTTGTGCCCGCCTATATTTACTCAAGTTGTAAATATGTACCAAGTTTTGAGAAGCTCAGCCCTCTACAACATCGTTCAAATAACAGTTATGGGCTTTTGGGAACACGTTTTATGTCTCCAAGGTGCCCTGGCCAAGTCTTTTTACGGCTGCAAGTGATGAATATTTTATTGGTTTTTAAAAGGGTCTAAACTTTACATGACAATTTTGAAGCTATTAGAGTGAAAGATTTGAGTGGGAGATTTTTTTCAAACACAATAAAGTATTTTTACACTGCCACTAGGTGGCGCAGTGGTCAATTCACTACATTTGCATATGGTCATATTCAGGACTGGATGCCTGTCTATCATGTACATTTTTGTACAATTTACACAATTTACAGAGACGTTACCCCCCAACATGTTCAAGAAGAAATGAGCGTATTCAGAGAAATCCCACGCCAATACCGTACAAGTTGGGCTGATGCTTAGTGGGCACTAGAGCGTAATTTTGCCATGCCCACATCTGGATCTTTGCCCCTCTCCATTTTTATGCTAATTCTATGTAACTGCCTGGTTGCCTTTCTTTCTTTCTTTCTTTAATCAATCAATAAATAAATCAATAAATATTTTTAATTATCAGTTCAAAACCAACAGGGCCTTCTGCTGTTTCACAGCTCCCAGGCTCTGACGATCTTGATTGTCCTCCTTGTATCAAAATGAGTCTGTTTAATCTGCACAAACTGTGATTAATAATGCTTCAGTTCAGATCCAGAGACTGGCCATTGGAGGTCAACTGAGTTTAATATTTATTTCATTTTACTGTCATGTTACATAGTTTTCCTTTGGAAGCTGTGCTTGTGTCCTAATTCTCTTTTTGTTTTCTCTGTCTTCCTAATCACAGACTTTTCTTTAATTCATGATTACCAGTTACAGTATTTATTTTTATTTTTAGTAATATTTCTTATTTACATAAATTTAGCGAATTAAGATAGATTAAAACTGTTTTATCTAAATGTGATTGTGTCAGATTCAGGGAGAACTGCAGTGTCCAGTTGCTGCTCCAGGTGTTACAGGACATCCACCTCCTAGCTCATCAGAACGATTGTTCATCAATGGGTACAAGACTAAACATTTAGCAACTCTTTTAGAACAATAGAATTCAACTGAGGTTATTTTCTAACCTTTAGGACTAAGACAAGTCTGTCAAAATTTGCATAAAGCTGGTATACACCAATTTTCACATCTGAGACATTAGCCATGGGGGCTAGCTGCCATTATCATGAACAGGTCTGAGTGATGAGAAACAGATTTATTTAGGGAAAAAATGTCCTGTCCAGGAAAGTGTACTGTTACCTTGATAATTCTGGTGGCCTTGATGAAGTTGACAGCATAGTGGTTGTGCTCCTCCATGCCGGTACCAATGGTTAGGATGTTGGGGTCAAAGATGATGTCATTGGGATCAAATCCAACCTTGTGAACCAGCAGCTTGTAGGCTCGAGTGCAGATCTCCACCTTACGGTCCGTATCTGTCGCCTGGAGATTGAAGCACGGTCATCAGTGTGTTTGTGTGTGAGAAAACATGGTCATCAGTGTGTTTGTGTGTGAGAAAACATGGTCATCAGTGTGTTTGTGTGTGAGAAAACATGGTCGTCAGTGTGTTTGTGTGTGAGAAAAGTGACCGACCGTCTCCTCACCTGTCCCTCCTCATCGAAGGCCATGACCACCACAGCAGCTCCGTAGCGTTTCACTGTAGCTGCTCTGAGCAGGAACTCCTCCTCTCCTTCCTTCAGACTGATGCTGTTAACAATGCACTTCCCTTGGCAGCATTTCAGTCCTGCCTGAATCACTGAGAAGTTAGAGGAGTCTATGCACAGGGGAACCTGAAAGAGAGAAGCAACAGAGAAATCAGGGTTTCATCAAACATTGACCAGGATACCTTTTGCCGGTTATTAAATTTTCTTTAATTCATTTCATTGAAGAAATCCACATTGTCTACCACATTTCATGTAAGAAATTTTAGACAAAAGTTACATTGACACAAGTAATAATGCTTAATTCAGCTTTTTTTTGCTGAGATTCATGTTTTTTGTTTTGGCATAATCATTTAC